TAATGTTAATTGTGCCTTTCATGAGCTTCATTAATGTTCAAAAAATTAACCCTTTGTGGGGGAGGTACCAGAAGGAGTGGACCGATATTGCCCATCTTAACAACAGATCTTGGGTTAATAAAATTATTGGGATTTGTGAAATTAGAAGACAATCGGACTCTTACATCACATTTTATGAGATTTGTAATCATTCAAAAATGTTGACCATTTGAGGAGGAGGTACTTGATGGATTGGACCGATATTGTCCATTTTCACACCTGACCTAGCACTGACACCAATATAAGGATTCGCAGAGTTGGAGCAAAATCGGATTATCCTTTCTCTTTCTATGCAAAAAAATATATTTTTTGAAAATTTCGACCTTTTGTGGGGGATATACTAGAAGGAGTGGACCGATATTGCCCATCTCCAAACTCGATCTAAGTTTGAAAAAAAATATTACGATGACGGACGGACGGACATAGCTAGATCGACTCCAAATGTTCTGAATTTTGTAGATACCCTCTGTAGCCATATAGCTGAGGGTATAAAAAGAGGTCTTCTTCGTAAAAGTCCTGATGGTCTTCTCCATAGAAACGTCTTCCCCATTGAAAGGAATTTGTCTTAATGGAAAACCAATGGTCTATATCAAGCTTTATATTCCTAGAGCACGTATTTTATCTAGAATTCCGTACAGAGCTGAAGAGAAGACCCATAAATCGTATTTTGTGTATAGAATAATTCTTTCTCTATATAGAACAATATCATGAATCTATAGAAGAGCTTCAAAAGGTTTTCAGTCCAAAGAAGACCTCTAGATGACTTTCTGTCAACGAAAAGCCTATTATCTATGGATAACCTTCGGAAGGTCTTCTTTCTGTATCTCTATGTATCTACTATTTTTATTAAGAGAAAACTACAGAAGACCTGTGGGGCTACCCATCTACAGATTGCCAGGAAATGAAGGCGCCAAAAACATCCATTTATGGAGGCCTATTTCTTTGAAGGACAGGGAGTGGGCCCATATATTCCATATTCACAGCAGAATTCTGGTTGAGATAAATATTTTGAAATACCAACATTAAAAATAATCACTGACTTGTTTCGCAAGTTATGAGAGACATAAGTATTGAAAAATATGACCCTTTGTGAGAGAGATACTAACAAAGCCCAAAAGTCATCAGGCGATCTTGCTGGCCAGTGCAAATTTCGCGCCCTGGAAATGCATCCTTCAGTATATCGTGCAGTGTGTGTCGTTGCACCGTCGAGTTGCGGCAAAAAGAAGTCGTTGATCATAGCTTTGTAGCGCTCACTATTCACGGTAACCGTTTGGCCCGCGATGTCTTCGAAGAAAAAGGTCCGATGACTCCTCCAGCGAAAACAGCACACCATACACCAAGCTTATTTACGTACCCACTAAGATGGAAAGTCATGATTATTTTTGATGAAAAATTAAGGATGGCTTGGGCGTATGTTAGACGCGATTGGGGGTCAGCAGCTAACAGCTAATGCACCACCTGGACTTTGTACGGAAACATCTTCAAATCTTGTACCAAAATTCGCTGTAAAGACCGTCGACTGATACCCATTTGCGTGGCACGTCGTCTTGTCGATGTCGACAGCGCTTCCATGACATTCTCGGCTATTCGAGACGTGCGGCTAAACGTCGCCGTGTTTCACCAGTAGGCATTGGACGACCAGGCAATCTGCAACGAAATTCACGTTGTGCCAAAGTCACCGACCAACTATTGGTCTCCAATATTCCGCGTTCTGGAGCAGTGTAGCGCAACATTTTTAACGTGTGTTTCGTGTGTGTCTACAACAAATATGTGAAAACTGAATTCACATTAGGGGCCAATCGTAAAATTTATAGCATTTTCTGATAGGAGGATAACTTTTGCGTCACCTTGTAGAAGGGATGGACCGATATCTATCATCTTCATGTCAGATCTTGTATTAGTAGAAACATTTGGATGTGTGAAATTTGGAAAGAATTTAATGTTTGTTTTGCGTTTTATGACCTTCATTAATATTCCAAATTTTGACCCGTTGTGGGGTGGTACCGTTGTGGGGGAGGTGCCATAAGTAGTGGACCGATGTATTCCATCTTCACATCAGATTTTGTGTTAACAAAAATATTGGGATGTGTGAAATTCGAAGACAATCGGAATTTTTCATTTATAAGAGGTATAATTATTCAAAATGTTGACCCTTTGAGGGGGCGGTACTTGATGAAGTGGGCCGATATTGTCCATTGTCGCACATCATATAGAACTGATAAATATATTAGGATTGGCAAAGTTTGCACAAAACCGAACGATTCATTCTTGTTCTAGAAGATCAATCATTTTCTAGAAATATTGACCTTTTGTTGACGCGCCACCCATGAATGGTTACAAAATTAGGTTCATTTCCAGCGCACAAGAGCCACCAAAATCTTCGAATACCAATCCGTTGGACTATTGTGTCTGAAGTATTTTGGAAAGCAAGCAAGGTTGGCACAAAAAAAATACCAAAGCAAGCGCTTCGCCGGGAATGGGCCAAAATACCACAGAGCAACATTCGGGCAGCGTGCGACGGTTTCATTGGCCGTTTGAAGGCCATAATTCGTGCCAAAAGTGACCAATTCGAACAAATCTAAACTTATTCTAAAATTTGATGCTATTTCCGACATTTTTTGCTTTCATTCAATAAAATTTAAAAAAAACAAGTAAGCAAAGGCTACAGTCGAGCGGGGCCGACCGTTGAATACCCTACAACACTATAATCAACCATACAGTTTATACAGGCGAGGTACTCGAAAGAACTCCACAAGATATTGTGACAAATAATAAGAGAAAACCATCATGTTTCGTTCTCTAATTTTCGGATAATAGCAGCTTAAACGAATTTGCTCATTTCCAATTTATTGGTAGATGTCGGTGGAATGGACATTTTCGTATTTAGTTTACAAAAGTTGGCAAACTATTTCACACATTAAATATTTTTGGATGGCCATCCGAAACTGCTAGGCTTTTGCAATGTGCGGTAACCCCCATTCAAATGTGCGTGAGGATCGGGCAATAATTACGACCTGCTGACAATTTTGCAGTTTTTTTGGTCCATTTCAACCCCTAAATATATGGCGACCATGTCCATAAAGAGTAGGCTTCTATTCTGACCCTCATCCGATCTCCACGCAAAATTTCGTTAGGATCGGGCCATAAATGCGATCTGTATATGATATCCTGATATCCTAACTACCTAGTTTTGTTAGCTGTAGAAATATTACCAAATGTTTAATTCAAAATGAAAATATGCCAAAAATATGACAAAATTGAAAAAATATGAGAAAATGTTACAAAACCAATATTTTCATCTTTAGAGAGATATTTTTATGCGATTTTTTAGACGTTGTTTCTTTCCTGCCAAGAGGCCATTCTGAATTAATGAGAACTGTCGAAATCAGTTCAGCCGTTCTCGACATATAAGAGATCTTTCAAGCATATCTTCTTTGATAGACATATATATCGCACATATTTTGCTATATCCGATTTGTTGGATGTTAACATCAATGTAAAGGTCAGAAGTAACCTTATCATGACTTTGTGATTTCGCCGGGATTTAAAAAATTCACGGTTTAATGAAAAATTTTGAATTTTTTCAACACAAAAGACATGGTCTATTTTACCCGTTAAATATTATCCGATGACCACCCAAATTGGTAGACTTCTTCCCCGCCCTAAACTCTAGCTACATGCGAAATTTCGCGTCGATTGGTCTATAATTGCGACCTGTATAGCTACTGCAAAATCCGACATTTTTTCAATATTTGGTCCATTTCAACCCCTAAACATTTGGCGATCATCTCCAAACGAAATAGGCTTCTATTCTGACCCTAACCCCACCTTCGTGCAAAATTTCGTGAAGATCGGGCCATAATTGCGACCTGTAGAGTGATTACAAATTAACATGGACAGACGGACAGACGGACGGACGGACATGCATAGCTAGATCGACTCAGCTCGGCGAGCTAGGAAGATCCATATATACTTTCCTATATGGGAAACCAATATTTCGAGGTGTTACATAATTTTTGGCCCAATCAAACTTATAATACCCCCAACACATAGTGTTGTAGGGTATAAAAACAAGTAAAAAACAATAATTTCGGCCGGCCCGAAATTTTAATACCCTCCACTTTAGGGTAAAGGAAACATTAGAACCCGTTATGACCCACAAATACCAATTTTTAGACAAAGCCGCGAAGAAATGTTGCAAAAATCATCAAAATGCCGAATATGGGGAGGTACCGTTATATGGGGACGTCCAAAACGTGGACGGATATATCTCATTTTCAATACCAACCAGGCACAATACAAATTGTTCTGCTAAATTTTGACGCTCTTCGTCAAATAATGTGGGCTGTATCGTGATTTCAACAGACATACGGACAGGTAGACTGACGGACATTGTTAAATCGACTTAGAATTTTATGCTGATTATGAATATATATATATATAAATTGTATGGGGTCTACAACAAATATTTAGGGATGTTACAAACGGAATGACAAATTTAATATACCCTCCTTTTCAAGGTGGAGGGTATAAAAATGTAAAAATTATGGCGTTTGAGTTTGTTGCAGTTTTTTTCAGACAATTTCATTGAAAAATCTGGCTGCAATCACCAAACGGACAAGGCTATGCTGTGTTATGTCTGAAATTATTATTTCGGTGAGTTACAAAGTGAATGACGAACTTAATATACCCTTCTCAATACTATGTATGGTGGAGGGTATAAAAAATCTAAAAGTTTTAACTAAACTAGAGTTAAGCCAAGAGGAATTCGACCTTTCATACCAAAAGTCGATTAGTCAATACTCGTCTCAGGTATTCCTGGAAGTGTTTTGGTCGTCAATAAAGTCTTAATAAATAAATGACATGACATGGAGATCTCCTAAAGAGAGTTCGTTTATAAAAAACCTGTAGAAAGCCTTCAATCTTTAAACCATGATTTTATTGTTTTTATCCCTACTCACCTGTCACTATTAGTCCTTTGGGATTTAGGAAAAATCTCTCCATGTAATTCGATGACCAGCAAATTGACAATCTCTATGGTTCTCTATTGTAAATTTCTCACTCTCTCTCACCCTGTGTTATTATTTGTTTCACTCTCTTGATGGCTTGTCGTTGTTGTTTTCTTTTTGTTTTTTTTTTTTCTCTCCACTAAAATTACGCGCGCCACTTGGTTTCATTTGCCGATAATGATGAGAGAGAGAGAGATAATAATAATGAAGTTGTCGTTGTTGAGAACAATGATAATTTGCTGACTGCCTGCGAATGCTGGAGAACAACAAGATACACAGTTACAGATTCTCAGATGAAGAAGAACAACAACAATAATTTCGATTTGCTTTTTCACGTTTGCATTTGATTTCACTGGAAAAAAGGGAAATGATTTGGATTTTATTGTAGCTTTTTATTGTTACACAAATGTGGTGCCACGGCTGCTGTTGTTGCTGCTGTTGCTATTCTCAGATGATGTAGAGCTATTTTGATGTGATTTTTCATTATTTCATAAAGCCAAAAATCTGTTGTTAATATTTTGTCGAGTAGATTTTTGTTGCTGTTGTTGTTGCTGCTGCTATTATATTTATGTTTTATTGTGATTCTCTTTCATGGCGAACTATAAATTTTGAATTTATGCCCGAGCAATAAAATCAAAAGAATTTTCCGATAATTCCATGATAATTCCGATGGGTATTGGGCGAATGCAAATAACACACAAACGAACGAGGGGTGGCAAAGGGCATCAGATGCCAGGCGACTAAAAATCTCGGAAATAAATATTTGCAAAGAATCTGAATAGGTTCCCCCTAAGGGAATTGTTATTGATATTCGTTTGTTGTTTTTTTTTTTCTTATTTGTTATTGTTATTATTATTATTTTTCTCGAATTGCAAAAACACGACCAGCAGCATCATCCATTCGTTGCTTGGACACGTACAACAACATTGTCAGCAGTATTTCCTCTTTTCGTTGTTGTTGTTGTTTGAGCATCTTTATTTTTTCCGCTTCTACTTCTACTTCTTCAATTCATTCACATTACCACCAACAACCACAAAAACAACACCAACTGGGATAAGTACATTGTACGTACAACATATCTTGTAAATTTTGTGTGTTACACTTTTTTCTTTTGTTGTTGCTTTTACCGCACCACAATGTACCCGCACATCATCATCGAATTCCTCCTCTACCGCACATCACCATCTCACATTCCGGTGTTGGTATTTTTATAAACCGCCCGTCCATCCATCCGATTCGCTACTCTTATTTTGCTTAACATCCAGTCACTTCCCCCCAACCCCCGGAGAAATGCTACATTTTTTTGGCTACTTGCTTCCTTGTTCGCCTTGCACAACACACGGACACACACACACAAACACACGGCACGACCGAATGAACGACGAGCACACACAGGCCGACACACAAACCAACACTTGCAGCAACTTCTTCTTGTTTTACACTTGTTTTTGATGCGATTTTTTGGCAATTTTTTTTACATTTTCCTTTACGCCATTTGACACATTTTGTATTTTCTAAATAATTTTCACATTTTCCTGGCAATTTTTATTGAAATTTTCCAAAAAAAAAAACCCAATTACCGACTCACGAATTTGCAGAGTTTTATTCTTTACCGTTTGACGTCTAAAACAACACTTAATAAGGCGCTTACGGTCCTTTTTGCACAGATAGATACTTTATCTCTTGTTTGGGGGGAGCACTCTCTCTCTCTCGCACGCTCGTTCTCTCTGTGAAAACAAAACAAATGTGTGTTGTTTTGTAAATGGGTTACTAGATGGCGTTGTTTGGAGTTGTGCCAAAATGAGATAAACAAGATGAAATGATGTAAAAATGCAACTCTGTGTTACAGGGAGTCAGATAAGGCACAGTGGGATGATTCAATTTAAATAATAATTTATCTAAAATAATAATAATGATAAAAAATAGAAATATAATAATAATAACAATAAATATAAATTAAAAATGAAATAAATATATAAACGAAAAAATAAAATAAAATAAATACAACAACAAAGACCTTAAGCTCGAACAACACTTGTTTTATTAAAATATAAAAAGGTCGAATAAAGAAAAACATTAATTGCAATAACGGAGAACACGCCGAAATTAACAACAACAAAATAGCCTACAATAAAACAAGTTAAAAATTATCTGTCGGTTTTGCCGACAGATGTATACCCTCAGCCAATATTCGTTTATTTAAATATATTTTGACTTCTGTTATGATTATTTAAACTGTTGACCCTCTATGGAATAGGTTCCGAAGGAGTCGGCCAAGAACGTCCATTTCGTATCGGACATAAATAAATAGAATACATATATTGCGACGTACCACGTCTGGACTATATCGACTTCTTTGTTCCCTTTATATGAGATATTTGATAACTTTTAGAAAATTTTAAAGTATGTGTGATGTACCAGATATAGTCGACCGAAATATTGAATTTTCAAATCATAAATTCCATATTCATCACAGGTTTCTGGTTGAGAGAAATATTTAGATATAGCATGATGTAAGGAATCGCTGAATTGTTTCACAAGTTATGACAGACCACGTAAAAAAGCAGTATGTAAGTTTGAATACACTCCGCCATTTGGAACAAATTTGTAAATTTCCAAAAAAAAAAAAAAATAATGAAATCCGTTAAAATTCTTTTAAGATTTTAAAAATAACCAAATATAGCCGTTATATTGGGGTCTATACGCGGACGTGGAGCTAAGTAGGCAACTTTTGCCATAAGCCTTTACCAAATTCAAAAACGAAACTTAAAAAAATCCGATAAATTATGTAGCATCAACATACCGAATATAGGGAGGTACCTCAGGGCTATATAACGACCTGGACCTGCATAGACAATTCTCTGTCACAGGCTGTAGTACCTATTAGGAACCTCAAATACGAAATTTCAAACAATTTCGTTGAATATTGTACCTAAAATTGTCAAAATACCGAATATAGGGAGGTACTGATATATTGGACCTATATGAAGACCTGGACCTACATAGGCTGCAGTACCCGTTACGAATTCTAAATATGAAATTGTAAACAACTCCGGTGAATAATGTCTCTAAAATCGTAAAATATCGAATATCGGGTAGTACCGTTGTATGCGGGCTATACGATATCGTGGACCTGTATAGACATTTATCTTCCAGGGGGTAAAGTGCTTGGAAAGAACTTCTAGTATGGATTTTAGACAGTTCCATTGAAAAATGTAGCTTAAATCATCAATAAATACACGATATCGTGGACTTATAGAGAAAATAATCTTCCAGGGGGTAAAGAACTCAGAAGGAAATCCATTTGTGGATTTTCAGATAATTTCATTGAAAAATTTGGATACAATCATCAAAATACCGAATATCGGGAGGTTAAGTTATATGGGAAGTTATACAATAACGTGGGCCGATATAGCCCACTATGTATGGTGGTGGGTATAAAAAGATCTTGTGGTAGGAAAAATGTTTGTATGTTTGAAATTCGCTTTCTTGATCTTCTCTCGAACCCTATGTGGGGGAGGCACCAGAAGAAAATGTCCGATTTCCATCATATTTATAACAGATCTTGTGTTGATAGAAAAATTGAGATGTACAAAGTCTGAATCTGATGTTAATTTTGCTCTTTATGAGCTTCATGGGCATTAAAAATTTTGACCCTTTAAGGGGGAGGTACCAGAAGGAGTAGACCGATATATTCCATCTTTATAATAAAAATGCTGTGATGTCTGTAATTTGAAGAGAAGCTGATGCTTATTTCGGATTTTATGATCGTTTCTGGTTATACAAAACTTCGACCCTTTTTGGGGGAAGTACCAAAAGGAATGGTCCGATCTCTACCATCTTTATAATAGATCTTGCGTTCATGGAAATGTTGAGATGTGCAAAGTCTGAATGTAATTGAATTTTAATTTCGCGTTTTATGAGCTTCATTTATATTTCAACTGTTTGAACTTTGTGTGGAAGGTACCAAATGGAGTGGACCGATATATTCCATCTTCACACCAGACCTTGGCTTAATAGAAATATTGTAATGTGTGTAATTTGAAGACAATATGAATCTTGCATCACAATTTATAAGAGTTATAATTATTCAAAATTTTGAAACTTTATGGGAGAGGTGGGCCGCTATTGTCCATTTTCGCATCTGATGCAAATATTAGAATTTGCAAAATTGGAGCAAAATTGGATTATCATTTCTGTTTCTGTAAACTAAAATATTATTTTTTTTTTTTTTTTAAATTTTCGAACTTTTGGTGGAGGTACGAAAAGGAGTGGACCAATATTTCCCGTCTCCGAAATCGATCTAAGTTTCATAATAATATTACGATGTACCAAGTTTGGACCAAATCGAATAGTTCCTTTGGAAGTTATCGTGCGTATTAGCCAACCAGACAGACAGACGGACATCGATAGATCGACTTCAAATGTTATGAAACGAATTTGGTTCAAAGAGACCTAGGGTCTAAAACCATTATTTCGATAAGGCAAGTTTTGGCCGCATCAAATGATATGTACCCTCTGTAGCCATGTAGTTGAGGATATAAAAACCCCGATACAGAAAAAGATTTTCCATATATAGAAGTTGTATAGGAATTCTAATATATATACAAAATTCCGCATGGACAAATATTTGATAGGTAAAACACATTCCGTTGATAGCCCTTTAATGTCAGAAGCTACCTTAATAAAGTCGATTAAGTTACAGATACCAATTTTTGTGGCCATTGGCAACACTGGGCTAGCCCAAATTCCAAAGATTCACAACTGCCGCAATGCTTCAATTGTCAGATTCCGATAGATGGTGTCATAATACACACTAGACGCTAAAACAGATAAAAGCTTAATTCATGACTGCGCGAAACGTACAAACATGGCACCACTGCCAGCTACAAGTGGCAACAGTGCTGTATTTTCACGCCGAAGTGACATTTTAAGCTTTGATCTGTTTTAAGGTACAAGTACATAAGAAGCTTGAAATCATGGCTAGGCATATTTTGTGACATTTCATAAAGGGATTACAGAGCCGCAATAAAATCCTGCCGTCGTTTTCCATTATAATATGACATTAATATGTCTAGTCATGACTTCAAGCTTTTTATGTACTTGTGCCTTTAGTCATAATAAACTGTTGAGAACCTGTTCGATTTTTTAATATTTTTTAATTTATTGATTTTATATTCTTTATTCATATTCACTTAATAAGATTTTTATTTTGGATTAAAATTACATTAAATTGTTAACAGTTAAATAACTATAAAATTGCAATAAATTATTATTTTTATATTTTAAATACACTTAATAAGATCTTTGGTTTTATATTTTAAAAACGACTTGCATTTAATTTTTATACATATCGCAAAGGACCTTTTCCATGGGCGTATTACCGATGGTCCGTTGAAAATATATAAGTTCAATTTTATGCGAATTGATGGCTCTCAAAAGGGGCAGCATCAACAGGAGGCGGCCAAAGCGTGCCACTTGGGCGGTGAATTGAGATTTTGTGTGCTGGGCTAACATGACCTGCAAGGTGAAGGTAAAGAAAAAAGTTTATAATTAATCTTATTTATATTATTATTATTATTATTATTATTATTATTATTATTATTATTATTATTATTATTATTATTATTATTATTATTATTATTATTATTATTATTATTATTATTATTATTATTATTATTATTTCTATTTCTATTATTATTATTATTATTTCTATTATTATTAATATTATTTTTATTATTATTATTAATATTATTATTATTATTATTATTATTATTATTTCGATTATTATTTTTATTATTATTATTATTATTATTATTAATTTCTATTTCTATTATTATTATTTCTATTATTATTATTGTTATTATTTCTATTTCTATTATTATTATTTCTATTATTATTATTGTTATTATTATTATTATTATTATTATTATTATTATTATTATTATTATTATTATTATTATTATTATTATTATTATTATTATTATTATTATTATCATTATTATTATTATTATTATTATTATTATTATTATTATTATTATTATTATTATTATTATTATTATTATTATTATTATTATTATTATTATTATTATTATTATTATTATTATTATTATTATTATTATTATTATTATTATTATTATTATTATTATTATATTATTATTATTATTATATTATTATTATTATTATTATTATTATTATTATTATTATATTATATTATTATTATTATTATTATTATTATTATTATATTATTATTATTATTATTATTATTATTATTATTATTATTATTATTATTATTATTATTATTATTATTATTATTATTATTATTATTATTATTATTATTATTATTATTATTATTATTATTATTATTATTATTATTATTATTATTATTATTATTATTATTATTATTATTATATTATTATTATTATTATTATTATTATTATTATTATTATTATTATTATTATTATTATATTATTATTATTATTATTATTATTATTATTATTATTATTATTATTATTATTATTATTATTATTATAGTTATTATTATTATTACTTTTTTTAATTAATTTGCTTCTTACATGAGCTTGATCCTGAAGATTTTCAATTTGTGCCGGTTCCTTAAGGCCCCTGGTTTCGGGGCGAAATAATACAATAGCCTTAAGGCATGCAAATTCAGCCGGGTCCACAACGACAGCTTTGAATTTACAGAAAATCTCATACAGGGTACGGACATCGGAGGCAATCTGGAAGGAAATTGAAAAAAAATATATATTATTAATAAAATATATTAATTAATAATAAAAAAATTGGCTTATGATTTCAAAATTGGCATTTAATGTGCTATATCGGATGAGAATTGATGTTCTATAACAGAAAACTGCAGATTTTTCCTTTATGATATGGAAAAAAATTGCAAAACTAGTAGATTCTTGCAAATATGAAAAATAAAATAAAAATGGTGAGGAAATTGAATAACTGTGTTATATTAACAAAAATTCTCAATTTTAATCCTTTCACCCCTTGTAATGTTCAACCGATTATAATTTGGTTTCCAATGAATAAAATATCTCATATTGATTGTTGTCTTGGCTAAATAACAATAAATCACAATAGCCAAATGGTGATGGCCTCATCTGGGATTCACAACAACCATTCACAATATCTACACACCAGTTACTGTTGTGAATCAAAATAAAAGGCCGCGTTTACACACAAATTGCCGTGGATGGGTGTATGTTTACATAACATGACAGCCGTTTAAGGGACATCACTAAACACATCTCGGTGTGTGTCTCTACTATGAATATAGCGTACATGTGAACCAATTGAACACAGCTAAGGCACAGAGTTGGGAAGGTGTCTAGGAATGATGCATCTTTAGATGAAAAGCCAGACTGTCTACTTGGACGAACTGCTGAGACAGGATGTCTACCTAAACAAGCTTGTTTCTTTAGGCGATCTAAGGAGTCAGGATATCTATTAGATGAGCCTTGAGACTAGAATGTCTATTTCGACGGACTGAGGGGTCAGAATGCCTAATTAATTGAGCTGAGGTCTTATACGAGACTGTCTACTTGGACGACCCGAGGGTCAGGATATATACTCAGACGAGCTAATGGGCCAGGTTGTCTCTTTAGACGAGGCTGAGGAGCCAGGCTATTTATTTGACGTACTAAGAGACCAGAATATCTACTCTGACGAGTTAAGGGTTGTCTTAGACGAGTTGAAAGGCCAGGCTGCCCACTTGGGCGAACCGAGGGGCCAGGATATTTACTCAGATAAGCTATTGGGACAGGTTGTCTCTTTAGACGAGCTCAGGGGTCAAGCGGTCTATTAGACGAACTAAAGGAACAAGAATGTCTACTTAGATGAGTTGGGGAAAGTCAGTCTACCATACGTGCTGAGGATCCAGGATGTCTTTGTAGATGAGGGGCAGAATGACTATTTAGACGAGCTAAGTTGCCAGGACATATATTTAGACGAGATCAGGGACAAGAATGACTATTTAGACGATCTTAGGAGCCAGGCTGCCTACCAAAATGTCGACTCAGACGAGGTGGGGTCAGGAGATCTACTCAGACGAGATAAAGGGTCAGGCTATTTATTATACGAACTAAGAGACCAGGACTTCTGTTAGACGAGGTAAGGGACCAGAAGGTCTACTTAGACGAGTTAAAGGGCCAGGCTGTCTACTAGACGAGCTGAAGGACCGGGCTGCCTATAGACGTGCTAAGGGTCCAGAATGTCTACTTAGACTAGATGGGGGGCCCAGCCTATCTACTATACGAGCTGAGAAGCCAGGGTGTCTTCTTATACGAGCTGTGGGCCGGGCTGTCTATTAGACGAACAAACTGACCAGAATGTCTCTTTAGACGAGTTGAAGGGTCAGGCTGTCTATTAGACGAGCAAAGGAACTAGAATGTCTATTTAGACGAGTTGAAGGGCCATGCTGTCTTTACTCGATCTGGAAGCCAGGATGTCTGCTTAGACGAGTTCGGGGCCAGGGTGTCTTTTAGACGAGTTGAGGAACCAGGCTGTCTTATTGGACGAGCCGAGGGGCCAGTATATGTTCTTAGACGATATGAGGGTCTGACTGTTTCTTTAGACTAGCCGCAGCACCAGGCTGTCTATGTCACTTACAGCAATCCTAGAAGGTCTTTTCAAAATTGGAAAAGCCTTCCTGCAGTTCTTACCTCTTCCTTGGTCATGCAGTTATTATTCCCTCCTCCCGCGCCATTGGAGGCCTCATGATTATTACAATGTTCCGTTACCGAAAATAAATGGCAATTCACCACATCCAAGGGCAGGCACCATTGAATGGCATTCAAGAGGAACAGGTCCGACCAGGACTCTTCCAGTAATATGACCTGAAAAATACAAACAATATAAATTATGAAAAACTTCCTTTGGAGTAAAACCCCTCTTACAAATGACTTACCTGATCCCTAAACGAAAGCCCTGCAAAGCTGGGCAAATTTTTGGCCCATTTCACGGCCATAAACAAGAGACGGGCACTGGTCTCATAGACCGTTTCATGCTGCTGGACATACAAATTGGAGGACATTATTTGGGCAATGTCGAATTGCATGACAGATTTTTCGCCATTCAGCACTGGTTCGGGGTCATCATCTTCATTGGTTACATCAATGGAGTCATCTGGAAGAGAGAGATAAAATTGGAAAAACATTTAAAGATCTGCCAAAAATTATTTGCATGTGAGACCTACCATCATTATCCATAATGGGACTGGAGGAACTTATGGACGAGACACTGCCTCCACTGATCTCTGTCTTTTTGTTGTTGTTGTCGCTGCTGTTATTATTGTTGTTGTTGTTGGCCACAGCTGCAGCAAACGAATGCAAATGTAAGTAGGGATCCTGCCTTACATAAAGCAGATTATGCGACCACTTACCATTTTCGGGTGGTGGCGAGCAGGGATCGATGGAATTGCTGCTCGACGAGTTGGAGGAGGACGAAATTGTGCCGCCACTCGAAGACAGATCAAGATAGCGTTTATCTTTTGTTGGTGTATTGTTTGTGTGGCTGTTGTTGTTGTTGTTGGTGTGGTAAATGTGATTGTTGTTGAACATGGGAAAACCACCGGGGCCACTGCTCTGATTCATGCCCGAGGACAGTTGCATTGAAGTGGCGGCCAAATGATTGTGATGTAAGAGACGTCCTGTGGGCAAACCGGAGAGGGCTAAAAACAAAAAGTAAGAATGGAGAATGGGCGTTTAATTGAAATGTCTAAAAGAGCACAAGACCAGGTGGGGATGGGGTGGGAAGTTAACGTTAGGCAGTTAGGCACGTTTTCACACCACTGCCTTCCCCCAGCCTGTTCCGGAAAGTAACAAAAATTGCCATTAAACAAAGTTTAACACTTACATGGCGGCGGCAGTAAAGCAGGTCCATAACAAGGTGGCGACAATAAAACGGGTGGTCTGAAATGGCCCAAAGCAAAGCACAGAAAACCAGGTTAGCTCATTTGCCTAACTCATTAGCGCGTGGAATGCAAAACTTAGTTTGCCCACACACACTTACCCAAAAACGCCCACGGCCACGGCTGCCTCACGCAAGGCCCTTCCATGCTCCATCTCCCGCAGTGTCTCTGGCCGAATGGTGGCGGTGTTTCGTGGTTGACGTTCATTTTGCACGGCTGTAATTGGTAACAGAAGATGGAAATTTCTAATTTTGAGTAGATGGCTAAAAGGTGTAGATACTTTGTGTGTGAGTGTGAGAGAATATATATTAGGTAACACCTCACCCCAACCCAACCCCACCCCCTGCTCGGCCACCATATGTGCCGAGATTTCCTGTTTATGATGAATTGTGTTGTCCTCAATGCCGACGTGTGTTTATGGCTAGGTTGTGGTAACATCAATGAGGGGGAGGGTGGGAAATGTGATGATGAGCTCTAACCCAGCAGGTTCACTGTGTGTGTGAGAGAGAGTGTGCCGGAGTTCGAATTTGTGCGTTTGATGGCATTTCAAACTGGTTCTGTTACGTAATCAATCTCAAACAGTGCACCATCACCGTGACATGAAGTGGGTGGGATGTTAAGTGGGCGTGTTAAGTATTTGACGATTGGAATCTAATTTCGGTCAAATTTTACGGAAATTTCTGTGATTTGAGGGGAACAATGGGAAATGTGGAATTTTTGGTTGGAAATAATTTCCCACGATAAGAAAACAAAAAATATTTATTTTTGAAAAAAAATAAGAATCTAGAATCCTGTCATGAGTTTATTCTGGGCAAATGGGCGGATTAAAATGATTGTTCCCTGGATTTCAAAGATTTTTTCCTATCATTAGGAGGGGCTTCAAAGGACATTTTTCTGGAGGGCATGGATTTTTAGGGATTATTTCTTTGATTTAACATTTATGACTGTAAAGGACCCTGAAGACCCTTCCACAAATATTTAATAATAATGTATTTTTTTTTTCTAAAAATTTCGAGTTTGCGTTCCCGACGGTCCTTGAAAAATTATTCCTAATGACTTTTTACATCCTTTGGGCAATGTCTCTCAAAATCTTTTTTTAAATCTCCACATTTTTAGCTAAGCATCCAAAAAAAAGGGCTTCAAGGTCCCTCAAGAAATATATGAAATAGATCCTGAAGATCCTTCAAAAAAATGTATTTTAAATATATTTTTGGGTCGAAATAATTTTTCACTAAGGAAAACAAAAATAATAATTACTTCGAAAAAGTTATAGGGGTCTATCAGGGTTATAAGCATGGATTTTTATTCTGGTCACAAGGATTTTCCTTGGACTCTTAATGATTTTCTCCTATCAATATGGGGCCATAATCGTGGATTTTTTAAGAATTTTATCTTGGATTTTTCTGGAGACCCATCATTGATATAATTTTTAAAAATTTGTCCTAGCAATAATCGTGGATTTCAATAGATTATTTCCCAGCCACAAACGGTATTCTTTGAGGATTTTTTAACAAATTTTTCCTGGTTATAAGTGCAGGATTTTTAAAAATTTATAAAGGATTATTTTTTGGTAACCAACTTAAATTTTTTAAGGATTTTTAAGAATTTTTTCCCGGACATAAGTGTGAATTTTTCAAGGCCATAAGCGTGGGGTTTTTAAGGCTGTTTTTACTGACCATAAAGAGAATTTTGTAAGGTTGGTTAAAGACTTTTTTACGGAACCTCTCTGGATAATAAGCGTGAATATTTTAAGGATTTTCAGGGACCTGTCAGGGCTGTAAGCGGGGACTTTTGAACTAATTTTTTCTGACACCTAACTGGACTTTTATCGTAGATTTTTAAAGGATTTTCCGTGACTTTTATACAGAGTGAGATGAAAAAACTGCAACCAACTTCAGACTGCTGTCATTTCAAAGCCACTCGTCCAACAGCTGTTAAAATTATTCCAGTGACAGCTCATTGTATTGTCTACAGGCGTACAAAAGCATTTTGGGGAGAATTTTCCAGAAAAAAAGGTATTCGTGCGTGATAGTGTGATTTCTTTACATTTGGCTGGAAAACCACAAGTGGCTATCGTTAGAGCACTCCAGCATTTAAATGTGAATAAATCATGTGTGTCTTGTACCATCGCTCGTTACCGTGGTAGTCTGGTAGCGTAGCCCTACGTCAAGGAAGTGGACGGAAGACGGAAAAACAGCAACATCAGCAGAAATGGTTTGAAAAGTAAAGAAGCCATTTGATTGAACCCCGCGTCGCAGTGGCCGAAAAATGGCTCGTGAGCTGAACATATCGCAATATTCCATTCGGCAAATATTGAAAAATGAGCTCAGGATAAAGCCATTGAAATTCCAAAAAGTGCAAGAACTTACCACGCAAAAGAAAGAAAATAGGCTCAAAGAGCTAAAGAATTGCATCGCTTGGCCGAAAGTTGTGAACTGCCGAATTTGGTTTTCTCTGATGAGAAAACATTCGTTGTCCAGCAGAGTTTGTAAATAAACAAAATGATCGCGTTTACCTGCCAAAGAGGTCAGATGAAAAGGTGCAGCTTCGGTTGGCCACCAGAAAATAAGCGCCGGTCATGGTGATGGTGTGGGCCGCCATAACAGCCGATGGTCGCTCTCCGCTCATATTAATCGACCGTGGCATCAGAATAAATGCTGAATATTATCGAGAAATATTCTGGAGGGTGAGGCCCAAACATTTTGGCCTCAGACCTTGGACATTCCAACAGGACTCTGCACCATCGCACTCAGCACGCGCCACCCAAGAATGGTTACAAAATGAGGTTCCTCGCTTTATTTCCAGCAAACAATGGCCACCAAAATCTCTGGATACCTATCCGTTGGACGATTGTGTCTGGAGTATTTTGGAAAGCAAGGTTGGCACTTAAAAATACCAAAGTGTCGATCATCTCAAGCTAGCGCTTCGCCGAGAATGGACCAAAATACCGCAGAGCAACATTCGGGCAGCGTGTGGCGGTTTTATTGACCGTTCGAAGGCCATAATTCGTGCCAAAGGTGACCAATTCAAACAAATCTAAACATATTCTAAAATTTGATGCTAATTCCGACATTTTTTGTTTTCATTCAATAAAATTAAAAAAAAAAAATTAAAAATTATGCCTCTTTATTTTGTTGCAGTTTTTTTTTTATCTCACCCTGTAAGAACAAATGCATGCATATTTTGAGTTTTTTTTTTTTTTTGGTGACCTATCGTAGCTCTGGATATTGATTTGTTAAGAATTTTTTTTATTAAGCCTATCATGACCAAACGAGGGGATTTTTTTCCATAAACCTATCATGGCTATAAGCTTAACTTAAAAAACAAAATTCTAGAAAGATCATGGCTGGATCAAGGCTGGACTAGGAGACTATCATTGCTATAATCGTGAATTTGTTAACCATTTATTGATTTTTCTGAAACCAATCTAGGATACAACCGTGGATTTTTTCGGAACCTGTCTGTGCTATAAGGGTGGATTTGGCCTGTTAGCGTGGATTTTTTGAAACATTTCTCTGAGACTTTTTAAATTGGACCTGTCGGATTTTTTTCTGAGTGCCTATTTTGACTAAAAATGGGGATTAATAAGGGCATTCTATCGTCGGTTTTATACGATTTTTCCTAAGATTTAAAAATTTATGTTTTTCTATCATAGCTAAAGCAAGGAATAATATGTATGCGAATTTACTTGAAAATGTGCACTTGTGGGGATTTTTTCCTACAGGTGCGGATTTTTAAGCATTTGTTGTTTAAAGATTTTGTTCTGGTTGTAGGTATTTTTAATGATTTTTTTATGGAGGTGTGGAATTTTTAACTATTTTTTAGCAGGCATGGAATATTTTTAGTTTGTTTTTTAATAGAATATTATTAGTAGGCGCGGATTTTTTAGGAAACGTGGTATTTTTTAAGAATTTGTTTTCTGGAGGTGTAAATGTTTTTAAGCATTTTTTTCTGGAGGCGTGGATATTTTTAAGGATTTTTTCTGGAGGCTTGGATATTTTTAAGGATTTTTTCTGGAGGCGTGGATATTTTTAAGAATTTTTTCTGGAGGCGTGGATATTTTTATGGAGTTTTTCTGGAGGCGTGGATATTTTTAAGGATTTTTTCTGTAGGCGTGGAAATTTTTAAGGATTTTTTCTGGATGCGTGGATATTTTTAAGAATTTTTTCTGGAGGCTTGGATATTTTTAAGGATTTTTTTCTGGAGGCGTGGGAACTTTTAAGGATTTTTTCTGGAGGCGTGGATATTTTAAGGATTTTTTCTGGAGGCATGGATATTTTTAAGGATTTTTTCTGGAGGCGTGGATATTTTTAAGGATTTTTTCTGGAGGCTTGGATATTTTTAAGGATTTTTTTCTGGAGGCGTGGGAACTTTTAAGGATTTTTTCTGGAGGCGTGGATATTTTAAGGATTTTTTCTGGAGGCATGGATATTTTTAAGGATTTTTTCTGGAGGCGTGGGAACTTTTAAGGATTTTTTCTGGAGGCGTGGATATTTTAAGGATTTTTTCTGTAGGCGTGGATATTTTTAAGGATATTTTCTGTAGGCGTGGATATTTTTAAGGATTTTTTCTGGAGGCGTGGCTATTTTTAAGGATTTTTTCTGGAGGCGTGGATATTTTTAAGGATTTTTTCTGGAGGCGTGGATATTTTTAAGGATTTTTTTCTGGAGGCGTGGATATTTTTAAGGATTTTTTCTGTAGGCGTGGATATTTTTAAGGATTTTTCTGGAGGCGTGGATATTTTTAAGAATTTTTTCTGGAGGCGTGGATATTTTTATGGAGTTTTTCTGGAGGCGTGGATATTTTTAAGAATTTTTTCTGGAGGCGTGGATATTTTTAAGGATTTTTTCTGTAGGCGTGGAAATTTTTAAGGATTTTTTCTGGAGGCGTGGATATTTTTAAGAATTTTTTCTGGAGGCGTGGATATTTTTAAGAATTTTTTCTGGAGGCGTGGATATTTTTAAGAATTTTTTCTGGAGGCGTGGATATTTTTAAGGATTTTTTCTGTAGGCGTGGAAATTTTTAAGGATTTTTTCTGGAGGCGTGGATATTTTTAAGAATTTTTTCTGGAGGCGTGGATATTTTTAAGAATTTTTTCTGGAGGCGTGGATATTTTTAAGGATTTTTTTCTGGAGGCGTGGATATTTTTAAGGATTTTTTCTGTAGGCGTGGAAATTTTTAAGGATTTTTTCTGGAGGCGTGGATATTTTTAAGAA